AAAAACTATATGAATCAACTTGTTTTAACTTAAACAACTTTAAAATAATTTCGCCCAATTTTGGCTAATAACAAAAAATAGTTTGGGCTTATAAAAAAATAATTTTTGCCCAAAGTATTTGGGCAATTCGGCTACTAATAGAAGCAGTTTCAACCAGAAACCTTAGTGCTGGGATTGGAAAAATATTGGATAGGTAATGATATTTTTCAGGTAAACTGTTTAATTTTTTCCATATCAATTAATATTTTTTCTTCAGGACTGATTTCCATTTTGTCACTCACTTTATGATCAGTTACAATGATAACATTCTCTTTATCATTGATGTTTCTTTTAATCTCTGCAAAATTGGCACTTTTCTTAGCACAATTTTTTTGTTCCTTTGATTGCATCTCTAGAATCTGATCAAAGAACATCATATACCTACTTGCTTTTATATTTATATGCTCATCTTTCATCCAACACTAATCTCCCAGACAATAGTTTTAATTCATTTTCATTCAACCCTATAAAAAATTTGGTATGGAAAATGTATGGAAAACTGTACGGAATTTTACTTGAAATTTGCATTTTTCTGTACATTTTTCCATACGTTTCTGTGCCAAATTTTTTATAGGGCAATAGATCATGTACCTTATTCAATATATTTTTATCTCCTAAATCAATACATAAAATTTTGCATTAGCATCTTAAGTGTGTCAGGTAGGTTTGAGTTATCATAGTATGTTGGGAATTTTATTTGACCAAAGATATCAGTGACAATTTTCATCAAATTTTCCAAATCTTCTGTAGTATTCTCAAATGGTTTTCCTTCTCCTTTATTTGTGCATGAATCTTTGTTTGGGTTCTCAGTGGCAGTTTTACATGAACTATGGTAATTGTTTACTTGTTGCCTTTTCTTTCAGATCTGATGTAACATTTTTTTATGCACAACATCAAATACATTATCTTCAATTTTCTCAAGAATCTCATCTTTTGAAAATTTTTTAATTTTCTTCAACTCTCCAAATAAACAATTTTTTTCTCTTTGGCCCTTGTTCAAATTGCTTAACACCAGGAAATTTTTTCTGATGTGGATTTACATAATTATTACACTGTTTATGATGGGTCTCATAATATTATACAAAAATTATGCAATTATTAATTCAGTGTAAATATTACATAGATTTTATGTTAATATTACAACATTGCATATTAAAACATACAGATGTAACATTACTGTGGGAAAATTTCCTGATGAATACTTAGAAACGCCTACTGGAGTAAACTGATATTGGAAAATTTCATCAGGACTTTTAATATAAATGGCAAAAGCTTCACATGACTGATCTAATAAAACTGGTATAGAATGTATAAATTTTGACATGTAGACGAATTTGTCCATTTAATAATTAGGCAGGGTAAATGTTTAATATAATAATAACAAATTAAGTGGCTCTCCAGTCAAGTTAATATATAATAATAATGATGAACTGATCTTAATTATAATTGTTCTGATATTTCAAAAATTTATACTTGTATAAAATATGATGATGATGATGATTTGAGCATAATGAAGCAAGTAGCCTTATTAATAAAATGATTTGTTTTTTTTATTATAACAATAACTAGAAAAATGTGAGAAATGTGGCAGATTACAAACTAGACATTACCTTGATGTTCTTAGTGGTAAATATATTTGTTTTTGTGTCAAATGGGGCATGTTGTAACAAAACCAGACAAAGTGAACATTAGAATTTCAGGGATCAAAATTTAGTCATTTGTTATTTTGAGGGTAATTATATACTATTTTCAAATATGACCCTCTTTTGGGTCATTATCTTGACAAGATTCCCCTGATTAATCTCTCCCCCTCCTTTTGATATGAAGTATCCTTTTTTTACTACACATTCAAATTTGATATAGCAGACCTTGATATAATAGACATGAATTGAAAATCTTTATTGTAACAGATTGAATTTTGAGAATGTTTAACAATAAACTATTATAAAAAATTTATTTTTTATTTAGCAAGAAAAAAAAACTCTCTGTAATCTAAAAGCTTAATCTATTTACTATAATTTCCCTTAGTTTCATGTCCATATCTCTTTATTTGAAGGCTCTGATGCAAATTTTATTTATATAGTTTTTACATATATTCTTAAAAAAGTTTGTTATTGATTGGCATTATGTTACATCATCTAATTTTGATTTAATTAGGGCATCTCACACACCCCAATAATTAGTGCAGAAGACCACATTAGGAAATTAAAAATGTGTTATTTATGGTGTTAAATAACATATTGTAAAAATGATGTTATATAATGGACCCTATACAAAGTTTATCTTAACATTATTTAATGTTTATTTAACAAATTCATAAAATTTAGCATTATTCAATACTGTGTTAACAGTTAACAATAAGTTTTATATTGGATTAAGCCATTATTATTTTTATCATTCTAAATAATTAATATAAAATTTTTATTTGTGAGATCATTGTAGAATCATTAAATTTCTGTGCTGCTATTACCACTAATATATCCATCAGAATCATTTGAATTAGATTCATAATCCATTTTCCTTTCTTTCCCATTCAAATTCCCAATATCACTATCACTTCAATTCTATACATTTCACTATGTGACAATACAATTCCTATCTTGCTGATGAAATTTGTAGAGTTCTTGTTATTTTCACTGTATGAAACAATACATTACTATCCTCTCATTGATGAAATCTATAGTAGTTCAGCTCTATGCTTGCTAAATCACTCTAAATCAATTCAATGGTTAAGAAAATAATTATCCAAGAAATATTTTGCAATATCTTATTTTTTTATGTTGGATGATATTGATAGTTTTATTATATTATACAGAGATAGTATCAATGAAAAGGAAGATTTATACATTATCATTATCTTCATAAAAAAAGAAATCAAGTGAGGGAGATTTGAGCAGTATTTGAATAATTTTGATGTTACTCAATGCTCAGCATTAAAGGCCCATTGATACAAGTCATAATGATTCATTTGTACTCAAAATTCTATCTAGAAGGGGAGTTACTCTTTCTAAATAAATTATTACTAAAATTAGATACATTTTTACTTTTACTTATGTTAGTTAAAATTGTAAAATGCACATTGTGATTAAAATATATTACAAATTTATAAATTAAAATGAAAGATTTGTTTTTTTTTCCAATTAAAAATTAATAGTAAATAACTTGAAATCTAACAGTTTATCATGATAAAACTCTATTATCTCTAATATTCCTTTTGATTCTTTCTGCCAAGATTCTATTGGATGATGTGATGAAATAAGTAGCTTTACCTCTTTTGCCAATTCTAGCTGTTCTACCAATTCTATGCAAAAAATCAATCATATTAGTAGGGAAATCATATAATATAACATGATCAACAAATGTTGTATCTAGACCTCTTGAAGCAATATCAGTACAAACTAAAACTTTAGCATCTAACGATTGATTTTTGAATGCTTCCAACTTTGTTGTACGATCATCTATATCACCATATAAACCTATCACTGGAAATCCTTTAGACTTTAAAAATGCTTCAAGGGCTCTTGAACTTACCCTTGTGTTACAAAATACTATTGTACTGCTGTTGTTGGTTAATATTGATGATGATGGTCTTTTATGAAGTGATTTATTATTATTACTATCATTATTTGATGATGAAGTGTAATTTCTCTTTAACACTTCTAATATAGCTTGAGATTTATTAAAATTGTAAGTTTTCATATCAATAAATTCATGTTGAAGATTTGGTAAAACTTTATGTAACGAATGACTGGTTAAACGTTTTATAGAAGGCAATTCTTCATCTAATAATTCATTAATTGACTTTGGTAAAGTGGCTGTAACGACAATACATTGCCATTTTCTTTTCTTATAATTAATGTCTTCTTTATTTTTTTTGTTATTATAATCATCATCATAAGCATCGACTTTATTATAATGGTTATAAGTAGATTGTTGTTTTTCTAATTTTTCATTTTGTTTTTCAACGATTGTTTTGATTTTTTGTATAATATTTCTGACCTCTTCACCAAACCCTTTGCTAAACATAGTGTCAGCTTCATCTACAACCATATATTTGAGTTCTGACAAGCTCAATAGCCCATCCTCGGTATATTTAAGGATACTTGACGGAGTTGATATAATCATGTCAATTGGCAAAGCCAAACTACGTCTAATTAAACGACGTTCATTTTTTGAGGTAAATGATATTACACGAAATCTTGCAAAATGAGATAATATTTTAGCAACAGATTGTACCTGTTCTACCAATTCTCTTGATGGTAATAATACTATCGCTCTTGGACTATTAAATTTACGTATTGATGACTTTTTTAATAATAATGTTTGTTTTTCTTTTTCTAATTCTTGTTGGAAAAAAGAGTCTTTGGAGTTTTTATTATGATCTAATTGTTCTCCAACATAATCTAAATCAACGGAATATTCATCCTTCTCCTCCACATTTCTTTCGCTTGCATTTTTAATATTGTTCGAGGATTCACTTGATTCATCAACCAAATTTTCGTCATCATTAATTTTTTGTTTATTTATTGTTTCGTTATCTTCTTTTGCATTGTCCAAATCAGTTAAAATATATTCAGATTCCTTGTTTGTTATAGCTGGATTCTCAGTGTCAATATTTAAATTATTTTCATTAATATTTCCCATAAAATCATTATTATATTTATTTTCTACTAATTTTAATAAAGATTCTAATGGTTGAGCTTTTGCTTCTTGTTCTTTAAGCTTACTTATTATTGGCAATAAATAGGATAAAGTTTTACCTGAGCCTGTTTCAGCAGCAATTAAAATATGTTGGCCTTCTGATTTCAAAATTTGTGGTATAGACAATGCTTGTATTTCAGTCGGCTTCAAAGAATTTTGTGATATATTTTTTAATGGTCCTTGAATCAAAGCATCATAAACCTCTGATCTTAAGCCAATGTTTTCAAACGATATATCATTTAAACCAACTGTTTGTGATTTGACTTTTGATTCTTTTTGTTTTATATGTGATAATTCCAAATCCAATCTTTGGGCCTGATCGTGTGGTGGGGTTGTTTTTTTAAAATTTATTTCCCTTTCTTTTTCATAAAAATTTTTCGTAGTTTTTTCATAATTTTGCTCTTTGTTGAATGATTTTTTTGGTCTAACTAAGTCGTCATCAGACACATTCTTTGTTTTCTTGTTCTTTATCTTAACATCACTTTCGATATACATTAGCCTAAACCTTGAGGGTATAAATCCACGTGTTTTACTAGAAACAGGTCTTGAATTATATGAATTATTATTATTATTTGGTTTCTTATTATGAACAATGGCATTTTTTGGTTTTTTTGTTATAATAGGTTTTTTTGATTTGAAATGAGCAAATTTATTCACATTTTTGATTAAATTAAAACTTAGTTCATTACAAGATCTTGAATTATTTTTAGTTAATTTTTGTAAAGTTAAAAAAAAAAACATCATATAGTAGATTATCATCGAACCCCACATATCCAAATCTGGTTATTAAATTAACGCATTCTCGTGATACAAATAAATTAGATTTTCGCACGTTTGCATAAAATTCATATGATTCTGGAAAATTAAAAATCACATTATGACATCAGTTTTTGATTCACAAGCTTTCTTTCTTACTAGTGTTTCTATAAATCCTGAAGAAAATAATACCGATTCTATAATAACAACCAGTAACAACAACAATAATAACAGCGGTAACAACAACAAAAAAATGTCAACAAAAACCACCTCTAAAACAACACCAATTGACACAAGTAGCAGCAGCACAACCACTGCTCAAGATTCGTCGTCTACACCAGTTGTTGATTTTTTATCTTCAACACCACCTAGTATTACTCGTGTTTTAACTTATACCTCACCTTTTGTTCATCTGTTTTCATACTTTCTATCCTTGATGACTTGGTCGACAGGAAATCCCTCTGAATCTTGTTTATTAGTGGCTGCTTGGTGGACACTATGCCTTTATCCTAAAGAATTGATTATATATGGAATACATCTCTCTTTACTTGTATGGTTGGTTTATAATTGGATCCAAAAAGGAAAACTTGAAAGATTAGGTAAAAGAAAAATATTAATGCTTATTATGCTTTATTATGCTAACGTTGGAAAAAAATTTTTTTTTTATAGGCAAACCCAAGAATAGTAAAGCAATGACGCAATATGATCTCAATCAAACAGTCTTTGAGATTCACACAATATCTGAAAAACTATCTGATTTCCATGCTTTAATAAATTCCTTGAACTCTTACATTGATTGGTCAGATCCGGAGAAAACCAAAAGAGTTATCATGATATTATTATATTCATATCCTATATGGATAATATTTAATTACCTAGGAAATTTGTCATGGACATTTATAATACTTGGTACTATTTGTTTAGTGTGGAATAGCCCATGGTTCAAAGTGATCAAATATGTGGTAATTAAATCAACTTTATTACGTGAAACTGTTTATTTTATAGGTGGATTTTTTTTTAGAAATGGGCAATTTTCACAAAAGCGAAAAGGGAAGGGAGGGTTTTCTGTCAGAGAATTGATTATGAAAGCAAAAGGTCAACAACAACAAAAACTCACTTCTATGTTATCAAATGTTAACGTTGCCACGAAAAAAGGTTTGACAAGAGATGGGTCAAAAACTTCAACAGATTTAATTTTTCAATTTGTTCTATATGAAAATCAACGTTGGTGGTTAGGACTAGATTGGACTACTAATTTGTTTCCTAATGAAAGGCCACCATGGTAAACATGCAAATTATCATATTATTGCTATATATATATATATATATATTAGGATCTAATTTATTTATTTTATTTTATTTAACTAGGTCTGATGAATATCTTGAACCAACTGATTCTAAAAATAATTTTCAACTTCCTGCACCATCAACTCAAACTATCGATGATAAAAATGTTTTAATCAAAACAACAAGAAAATGGGAATGGTTAGATCCTGATTGGACTATAAGTCATGATGGAGATGTTGATAAAGATGGTTGGGTGTATACAGATAATCATTGGAAAAATCCAACATCAAAAGGAGGTTTTGGACGATATACACGTAAAAGAACATGGGTTAGAACAGCGAAATTGGTTGAAAAAATTGAAAAAATTGAAAACAATGCTAATAATAGTAGTGATAGTGATAATAATAGCAAGGAGGAGGATAATTATGTTGATAATGGTGATAATGCTGATAATTATAATGACACAACAGGTAATATGAACGAGACTAGTAAATCAAAAGAAGAGAACAATAAAAATATGTTAAAGTCGAATGTTGTTGAGGATGAAAAAGAAAAGATTAATCATAACAATAGTGACAATAACGACGACGACGATGATAATGATGAGAAATAAATAAATTTTTGGAAATAATGGAAGTGAAAGTAGATAAAGTTGGCAACTATATCTTTTCCAGCTAAAGATTTGTCTTCATTAGATACACATATATATATATATATATTCTTTTAATTTTCTTTATAAATATTTAATTATAAATAAAAGGAACATTGTTAATGTTATTGCATCTTATTATTATAGTTGATAATAATGACAAGATTTTTTTTTGAATGAATGCATTATCAAGCGTAAATCTGTGTAAATATTTGATTAAATTTGGGGTCGCAATTGTTATTAACAATGTCTTCTACAGACTGTTAATGCATTTGTTCTCAAATAGTTAGTTTGAACTTCGTTCCGATTTACCATGATACACTCGACAATATCTCAAAGTTTGTTTAATTTCTACAAAAACCAATCCCAAATTGATTAGAGGTATGTATATGGATTAAAGGTGCTTATTGAAATCGTATTTGTAATTATTCAGAAAGTCAAATAATCTTTGAGAAAAAATATTATTACAAATACTTGGATATCTAAAACCGTCATTCTTGACACACATTCTGGTGGTTATTATCTCAAGATTAAATTTTTTATACTCGGAATAATAATTAAGAGTGGTTTCCTTTAGAAGGAGAAGAAGAAATAGAATTTTCATTTTCAGTTGCAATTTACTAATCAAAGATAATTGAATCTATGAATTGAAGCAAAAGAGGTCAATTAACTGATGCTTGCATATTTAAAATCAAGCATTTCTTTTTACTTTATCTCAAAATTTGTTATTAAATTATAATTCCATATGTCCAATTTTTAACTTGAGAGAATCCACAGCCAACGTTCAGTTTGAAGTGAACTATTATATATAAAAGTCGCGATTTTTCAAATTACTTGGTGTAACTTATTTCAATTTATCTATCTATCTTATCACTTGTATGAATCAATCAATCTAATACTAATTGAGATTTCTTTCTCCCACGTTTTTTAAAAAACAGCATTTATAGGATCTAAATTTTTTCTTCAAAAATGAAAAAATAAATGAAAAAATAAAAAAATAACACAAACATTATTTATTATCAATCAATTAATTAAAAAGAAATATTAAAGATGGTATTAGCTAATGAACTTAATGCTTGGAAAAAACTTCAAAATCATTATGATACAATTGGTAAAGAATTGGTAATGAAAGAATTGTTTGCCAATGATAATAATCGATTCAATACTTTCTCACGTCAATTCAGAGGTAACAACAACAACAATAAAAATGAACCTCCTTCCACCATTTTACTTGATTTTTCAAAAAATCGAATCACCGATGAAACTTTTAAATTATTGATTGACCTTGCTCGTGAAGCTGATGTTGAAGGGTTTAGAAATAAGATGTTTAATGGTGAACATATCAATTTTACCGAAGATCGAGCTGTTTTACATGTTGCATTAAGAAATGTTTCAAATAATCCTGTTAAAGATGATAATGGTGAAAATATTGTCCCAGCTGTTAATGAAGTATTGGAACAAATGAAAAAAACTTCAACTGAGATCCGTGATGGAGTTTGGACAGGTTATACGGGAAAAGCAATAGTAGATATTGTTAATATTGGGATTGGCGGATCAGATTTAGGACCAGTGATGGTGACTGAAGCGTTGAAACCATATGCTAAAGCTGGTCTGAGTGTACATTTTGTATCAAACATTGATGGTACTCATTTGGCAGAAACTTTGAAAAAGTTGAATCCAGAAACTACACTTTTTATCATTGCATCAAAAACTTTTACTACACAAGAAACTATCACTAATGCCACATCAGCTAGGAATTGGTTTTTGAATACTGCAAAAGAGGTTAATTTACTAATTTGATTTTGATCATTCATCCATTTTTCTTATATTTTAAAAAAAAATAATTGTTGCATATTAATATTAATATATAAAATTTTTTTGTATATACAGGATAAATATGTTGCTAAACATTTTGTAGCTTTGTCAACAAATACAAAAGAAGTTACCAAATTTGGAATCGATCCTGCAAATATGTTTAAGTTTTGGGATTGGGTTGGCGGAAGATATTCTTTATGGTCTGGTGTGTATTATTATAATCATAATCATAATCATCATACAAAGTATAACAACAATTAATTGATTAATAAATTAATTAATATGATTTTTTATATTATATATATATATATATATATATATATATAGCAATTGGTCTTTCAATTGCAATTTACATTGGATTTGATAATTTCCATCAACTTTTAACTGGTGCTCATGATATGGATAATCATTTTAAGAATACTCCATTAGAAAACAATTTGCCAGTGATTTTGGGTATCCTTGGTATATGGTATAATAATTTCTTTGGTGCTCAAACTCATGCCATTTTACCATATGATCAATATCTTCACAGATTTCCTGCCTATTTCCAACAGGTAACTAGTGACTCTGATAGCAAATCAATTAATAATTTATAATTAGTAAGACTTTAATTATTTATTTTAATTGATAGGGAGATATGGAATCTAATGGGAAATATGTGTCAAGATCGGGAAAAGAAGTAGAATATTCCACAGGCCCAATAATCTGGGGTGAACCAGGTACTAACGGACAACATGCATTCTATCAATTGATCCATCAAGGAACAAAAATAGTTCCAGCAGATTTCCTGGCACCAATTGAAACACACAATCCAATCTCCAATGGCCTACATCATGAAATTTTATTATCAAATTTTTTTGCACAGACAGAAGCTTTAATGATTGGTAAAAGCAAAGAACAAGTCTTGACAGAGCTTGGTGAAGGTTTCAAAAATAAAGATTTGATTGCACCTCATAAAGTTTTTATTGGTAATCGGCCAACAAATTCTATAATTTTTCAAAAATTGACTCCTGCCACTCTAGGTGCTCTTATTGCATTATATGAACATAAGATTTTTGTACAAGGAATCATTTGGAATATCAATTCTTTTGATCAGTGGGGCGTTGAACTTGGTAAAGTTCTTGCTAAAAAGATATTACCTGAATTAGGAAAAGATAACAAGTCGGTTGTTTCTTCTCATGATTCAAGTACTAATGGATTAATCAATTATTACAAAAATAACAGAAACTTTTAAAGCATTAAATTTTTTTAATCGTTCATTATTATTAAAAATAACATATTCATAATTTTTTTTTTAAAACAATAAAAAATAATATATCCTTCAAAATCCTCTTAATTTAGCGAGCTTCAAATTGCACCACTTTATAAAATAAATGATTAAAATTACAAGTTAAAAACTATGTAATGTATAAATATAATATATAATTCTACTAACTTCTTTTAGTTCGTTGTTTATACATAATTCTATGGCCACATTCTTTGCAACGTAAGGGTTCTTTTGGTTTAATTTCATTCTCTGACCCACAATCTATTATAATTATTATTTAAGAAGAAAAAACTACTCGGGAAACAAATCAACAATTTTCCTTAACTTATAGAAATAATCCATACCTGCACAATTGTATAACATTTTAGGCGCATTATCACTTGCTCTTGGTGTGGCAGAACTTAAAGGGCCGGATAGCAATGGTGGACCTTGCGGATTTTGGTTATTCATTTTTTTATTTCGAGATCCAAAAAAACTTTACCACGTGATAAACCGAATCTTGATTCCATATATAGAAAGAGAATTAACAAATTTTAAATTGCTTATTTTTCATATATGCAAACAATTGTATTTTTTATTATTTTAAGAAGAAGTAACGTTTATGGTGATACTTATTCAAAGTGAAAGAAAAGAATTTTTATTATATAATATATATAAATTATATAATTTGTTATTTTTTTTTATTACAAAAAAAATAAACAATTATGGCACCAAAAAAACTTCAAAATTGTGCATTAGTTGATCACTTTGCAATAGTTGTTCAAGTATTGTTGGGTGCAATTGCTTGTTCAACACTTATTTATAAAAGACATAGAGAACGACCACAAAGGCCTTTGCTAATATGGTATCATTATTGTCATCATTATTATCACTCACTCATGTAATCAACCATATATGATTTTATAGTAACTTATATATATAATCTTTTCACTATAAAGGTTTTATGATGTTAGTAAACAAGTATTAGGTGCTGGCATTGTTCATGGATTAAACATTCTTTTTTCTTATATAGCAGGTTCACACAACACGGAGGATACCAATCCATGTATATGGTAAACAAATTAATATTTAATATTTAATTATTTTTATTCAGATAATTACAATTTATTAATTGTGATATTCTATAGGTATTTTCTTAATATATTTGTAGATTGTACTATAGGAGTATTTATATTATTTGTAATCCTTAAAATAGTACATCGTTTATTAACTATTTATGGTGTAGAAGGTAAAAAATAATAAAAATCTATTATCATCATTTAGTAATTATAAATTTAATTGAAATTTTTTTTTTCTAGGAATTAATAGTGGAGATTATGGACAACCACCACAATATATATTCTGGGTTAAACAAACGGTGGCATTTATATTTTGTCTAATGCTAATGAAAATAGTTGTAATAACATTATTTAGAATATGTCCATTTTTATTTGATATAGCAGAATGGATACTGGGTTGGACATTGTATGATGTTAAATTACAAGTGGTTTTTGTAATGTTAATATTTCCATTAATAATGAACATTATACAATTTTGGCTTGTGGATCAAGTTATTAAAAAGAAATTCGAAATTGATGGTGTTGGCATTAGATTGGGAAGGGGAGGAACACGACGACGTCGTCGTCGTCGCCATAATCATTTTGTTGTTGGTGATGATGATGAGGATGATGGTTATGGTGGTGGTGGTGATGAGGATGATGATGATGATGACGATTCAATTAGAAACGAAGATGAGGTTTTCTTAAATGTTGATTCAACAGATGATGATGAAGATGATGCTATTATTAATGATGGAAAAGAAATGAATTATAATGAAAATTTACCATTTCATCTCAAGAGAATCAATAGTGGAGAAGATAAAATTGCTAATAATAATAACATTGATGATAATAATAATGACATGGCAAGCGAATCTTTTTCGATGAATGACATTAACAATAATAACAGGGATAATATTATTATCGATAATAATTCAACCGACACTGATGAAATTTATACTCATTTACGTAAAAACCCCTCTTCATCATTATCGCCAAGGAAAAAACTTTAAAATTTCATTGAATAAACAATGTATGTATGGATGGACGGACGGGATGGATAAAAGAATATATGATGAATACACACATAGATTTATATACCATATACTTTCAATTCTCTCTTTCTGAAAACATTATTAGATATATAGAATGTATTTTCTCTTACTTTAAAATTAAGAATTTATTAAAAACATTTTTTATAATAAAAAAATAAAAAATTTTTTTTACATAATAATTATAACAACTCAAATAAAATATGTTCGCCATATGGTTTATCCCAACCATCAGTGCCACATAGTGACAATTCAGGAACGATAATGGAATATATGGTGTTCTAATTCCCTAAAATTACCAAATCTACTTTAAAAAAAATAAACTCAAAGTAACTTTATGAAAAAAGATTTGGTATTTGGTTCGTTGACTGGAACTTTACATTATTTATTAATATAATACGGTAATAGAAAAATCTATTTGAATATATTAATTAATTTAATGCTTCCTATTGTCAATTGGCACACTTACAATAAAGTAAATGTACACCGAACCATTTGGTTAAAGAGAAAAAAAAATTTTTTCGGCTGATCAATCTTATATATATGTATACTTGCAAAAAATTTGTGCAACATTGAAGAACCTATCAAATACCAAATAGGAGTGTGCTAATAAATAATTCATTTCATAGTACGCTTTTTTTGCGTATGAAGTAGATGCGGAATTTACATGCTGAGATGGTAAGTCAATTACTAATGTTAGCCAGCTAAGAAATTTTTAAATGGCTTAGCCGGCTAAAAAAAAATTTCTCTCGACATTCATTTTTACATCTGGAATTTTAATTGAGATGGGTCCACCTGCATTACTTAGAATGAGGAAAAAACACACATTTGCTCAAACAACATAATACAATACATCATAGCAGGATAAAAGTCATAGAGTTTCTATTCGTAATACAACTTTTTATTTTAATTCGAATTATTATTATTCGTTTTATCCAAACTATTCATTCTATTTGAATTATTTGTCCTATATATTCGAATTATTTGTTTTATTCGTTATACTCGTTTATTCAATACTCAAATCCATAATGAGTAAAACAAATAACTCAAATAAACTTTATCCAAACCATTAAAGCGAGATATTATATTAATAATACCGGCAAGCTTAGTGCCATTTGAAGAGTTTTTTCTTCAACTGGGATTTATTCAAGTTCTTAGCCGGCATTTCCATAAAATTGTTAAAAAAAAATGTTAATTTTTAAAGATTAACAAAAATTATCATAGCTTTTGACCAAACGGAGAATTACTAATGACTATTATCTACTATTTCAGAGCCTTGCTCATAAAACTAGATGCAGAAAATTGTCAATTAATTCATTTCTGTAACAAACATTTTTATAAATTAATTCTTTTGTTTAATAAAAACACTTTTAGTCGGAAATTAAACAGTAGTAGTAGGGTTTAATTCCTTAATTGGTTATCAGAGTGGTATGGAACGCAAATTCTTATTTGAATTATTCATTTTATTCGAGTAAACTTTCAATGTAATTTGAATATTTGAATAGAAATTCTACATAGAACTCTGAGTTTTTGTAACTCAGTTTTGTTACTTGCTTTAGTAGAAAGTAAAGGTTTAATTTTTGGTTTTTGTTAAGTGTAAGCATTTTTGTTTTTTGTAAAAGAATTTGTTTTGTGCAAACATAGAGCGTTAAAATTGTTAGGCCAGATATAAAGTTGACATTATTAACCAAAGTCGTTATCACATATCACTTTGTTGTATTGTGTTGAAGTATTTTGCAAACGTACTGCTGAATTTAACCAGCCAAAGAAAAGTAAATAACAAGGAACTTCACTAAAAGAATTCGTTGCTTTATAATAAAGCTATGTTTTATTTGTTGTTAATTCTACCATAAAAGCGTTCTTACAGATTTGTTGAAGCTTTCTAGGTACGAGAAAGAGGCTGCAAATTCGTAAATCGAGTTAATTGATGAGAATTGAATATAAAAGCTTGCAATTAATCAACAAGCATAGCTCAAAAGTTAATTCAAACTCGGCCATATATATTTTGGAAGTATTTTTTTCAAATATCTTTTAGGATTACATTGATCATTACATTTGGTTTATATTATGACATTACAGCCTAATTACAGCATTATGGGCTATCACTCAGATGCTGCAATATTATAGTCAATTTGTATTCCATGTATAATGGCTTGGGAATATTTTCTTTACATAAAACATATGTAACCAAATTTATAACTATATAGTAAAATCGTCCAACTTCAAACCACTAAGGCTTTTTTTTTATTAGTAAAATTGAAAAAAGCTCTCTATTCCCTTGTTTCTTAGGTTCTAGGGATTGCAAAAATAGAAAGTTTTTTTCAATATTATTAATAAAAAAAAAAAGCCTTAGCGATTTGAAGTTGCACAATTTTTTTGATGTCTTTAGATGACTCTAACCGGTCTCATCAATTAAAGTGGGTACAAGTAGGGATGTTAACGGTCCGGGCCGTGTACCGAGTCAGTCTAGTCTTAGGTATCAAATACCATTTGGACCGTTGAATTTTTTTATAATAAAAATATTTATTTCATTAATTTGTTAAAAATATTATTTTATTATCATAATTCAATTCCAAATCATTAATATATTCAGAAAAAAAAGAATGTATACAGTTTTATATAAATCAAAATTCATTCATTGTTTCTATGAATTACTATTCCTTCCGATACAAATTCTTCAAAATATTCGTTTTATTCTAATTATTATTATTTTATCTATTCTATTCGAATCATTTGTTCTATTTAAATCATTTATTTTATTCTAAATATTCGTTTTATTATTTGTTTTATTCGAATCATTTGTTTTATCTGTTTTATCTGTTTTATTCAAATTACTTTATTCATTTTATTCATTTATTCGTTTTATTCGAGTCATTCGTTTCATTCGTTTATTTCTTTCATTCGGATAGAAACCCTAAGTCTGGACCACGACCTGGTCTGCGGTCTCGGACCGGTCCTTTGATTAGACTGACAGTCTTTGGACCGGACCATTAACAACCCTAATAATTTGCATAATCTACCAAGTGTTGCATGCATAATTTAATGTTTCGTTGCTGCATAAATCTGGGGTCTCTACCAGGAAGAAATGCTACTTATAGTCAATTGTGAACAAGCGTTCACAGTAATCACGTTTGTAACATAATGGAGTCCAAAACCAGGATATGAAAACACACATCCGCATCAAAATTCCACAAGTGTCATAACAGAGTTTTAAAATTTTGCTTCACGTATAAAAATCCGTTGTGGCAGAATTAGTAATCTTTCCACAACGGATTTTAAATAAAATTTTCTTTATGTGTCCCGTTCATTCGCTGTGACAAGGTTTGACTGTGTAATGTGCACTTGAATTTATTTATATTAATAATATATGTAATCACACTATGCTGTTTATACCAGCAGACTACCCAAACTTATACATCTAAAAAATGCGGGAATAGTACAAAGCATACTAATACTATATAGTACATGCTGTGTGATACATATAATGAAATATTTTTATTTATTTTTTTTAATTAACACAAATAAAAGATTGAATGCTCGTCGTGTCACTATTGCTTGCCAAAACTCGTAATTTTTTTTGCTGATTTTTGAAATCGTTTCCATATTTCAATCAGATCTGCAGTTTTTTCTTATTCTGGCGTATTAGAGTCGTACGGCAAAGATTTAATTTCTTATAACTTGCAGAGAAGAGAAGAGAAGAGAAGAGAGAAAAGAGAAGAGAAGAGAAGAGAAGAGAGAGAGGAGGGAGCGTAGTTCATTTATATAGGTGATTTTTTATAAGTATTGCCAAAAGAAGATATAATGAGCATGAGAATTCCTTTCTCAAAAGCTAAGCTACATGTCAAATCAGTGGATAATTTATTAATTTAACACTTTAAATAAATTGCCTAATTGAACAACAATAATATCTTTAAAATGAAATATATAATAGAATAATAGAGTATATTCACATGCGTCTTAAAAAAATTTTCCATTGAGCATTGATTTATTCAATGTTTCCATACTTGATCCTTTTTCAGTTTCCTCCATTGTCTCTTTTTTGGAATCCCTTTTTAACATGTAGGCTTTAACTACCACTGCAAAATAAAGCTGAAAATAATAAAAATAATAATAAAATTTAATAATTTGATAATTGCTTGCTGAATGTTCTGCCACCAACAATCATGGAATGAATTAACATAATCAGGTTTAAGTTCACACAAATTGGTGACATCATCTTTTTTTTGCAACAAGAACACTAAGTGGAATCAATGCTATAAATGAATAAAATGCCACTATTGTATAAGCCAATGCTCTAAAAATGTTTAGATGCTTTATTTTACCTTAAAAAATTATTATTAAATGATTATGAGTAAAAACTAGTAATAGTAACAAATTAATAACACTTGATGCCTTACCATGCTCATGATAATTAGCAAAGTAAGTGAAAGGATTGTCAGGATAAAATAAATAACAGACATTGTTATTGAAATTTATACTATTGAATCTGAAGAATGTTAATAAAAAA